GAGTCATTATCGCTGCATCCTTGGCATATTATCCTCGATTCTGACCTCTTTTTGTCCAAAATACAATTTTTACATCTTCTGGCTGATGCTGTTTTCTTTGGCCAGTGTCCGTGGTCAGAAAGACCTCCATTTGTGGCCTTCCTCTTACGATAATTCTGACCTTCAAGAAGGTACTTAACAGTTGCCTTTTTGAAGGAAAGAACACTCACTGTTGCTTCCTTTCCATTTTTATTTATTCTTGCGTGGTTTGGCGATTCTTTAAAACAAATAAATGCATTCACCAGGCTTATATCGAACAAAAACCACATTATGTAAAGCCACCATCGCTTCGTTGACCGAGCTGTTGGGTATAAAGTGCGAAGCTGATCGCTATGGTCAACAGCATTCATAAATTCATTATACATCAGAACAGGCACAACGCTAGGGACTTCCTTTATCGACCCATCCTTCTGACGCCGATTTATGAAAGTTGGGCCTTGCACTGGATTTGAGTTCGTCGAGACTATAAGGACTGGTTTGCGTCCCTTCTTCTCACGCCAAACAGAAACCAGAATTTCATCCTTCTGAAATTGTTTTGAATCTCCGCCATTTTTTACCAGCGCATTCAATTTCTTTTTCGATCTGATTTCGTCAGGAAGCCCTTTGACGTTTGATCTCACAGTCCCGCAACAATACAAACCTTTCTCAAGTAAAGATTTGCAGAGTGCTGGACTGCAGAAATAATTGTCGCAATTAATATGTGTAAATGTTTCATTTAGGCACTCTGTTAAGTCCTCAACTACCTTTCTGCCAAGGCCCATCTGACGATTGCCATCTTTCGGCTTCCCTAAATATACACTAAAGTCATTGCAGTAACCATTGTGTGAATCGGCCCGCATCCAAATTTTGATGCCATATTTTGTAGGCTTTGATGGCAAATATTGACGAATATCAAATCTTCCTCTTAAAGCCACCATAGCCTCGTCAATTGCACATTCCCTATGTGTGTTGTAATTTTCTAGGCAGTGTCTCCTCACAATATCCAAAATTGGCCGGACCAAATAAAGTTTGTCATAGTTAATGTCCTCTTTGCCAGGCATCTTTGAACGATCATTAGCATGTATAAACTGCAACAGTTTCTCAAATCTGTTTCGGGGCATTATTTTGGAAATTGGAGAACCTCCAAAAACAATATCATTTGACCAGTACATTTTCATATCTGGCATGTTCATGATGGCCATAAACATTTGAATGCCGAAGTATGTCCGAAGTTCAGCAGAACTGGTTTCTGTCCACAGCAGGTGTTGGGTCCCTTGGCTTTTTGAAAGCGTACAAATTTGTTTGAACCGCAAGGATTTCAAAGATCTGTAATGGAAAGAACAGGTCCAAGAAATCTAGTTCATTTTTCTCTCTTGCGAGAACATTCGTTGGGCCTATGGGTACAACTGAAGTGCTGCGCAAATATGAATTATGCCCAAGAAGCAATGGGAAAGTAGCAGTCCCTGGAACACTAATAATACTAAACTATTACAAGTGCAAAGAAAAAACGGTTTTACACAGCATAAATATAAGCATGATGATGTAATGATGGTGACGATGTTAAAAATGCTTATGAGGATGACAAAGGTAGTGACGATGTTGATGATGGCAATAGATTGTAATGATGGCAATAGATTGTAATGATGGCAATAGATTGTAATGATGGCAATAGATTGTAATGATGGCAATAGATTGTAATAGGTATAGGTGGAGATGGAATACTAGATGGAAAGAAGCTCTGGGTTAGGCCAAGGTTTGTTTCTACGGCAGAATATAAAGTAGGTGCATCGAATTATGACCTTTGGTAAACCAAGATATATGTAGGGACAAAGAGAATTTCAACACCAAGATCATCTAGCACATCTGTAAAAGTAAAACATGATTGCCCGAAGATGTCAAGAGAACTAATTGAGAGGTTAACAAATTTAACGGAACTGCTAAGAGTTTTTAAAAGAGATTTTTACTTATCTTTTTGCGATAACTTTTAACATTAACTCATACGCTCCGCGGACATTATCAAACTACTTAGCTTTGATTCCCAGTGGTCTATTGTTCACAATTCAGTCCCGCATCCTGGTGAAAATGGCTTCCGCCTTAAAATATTTCAACTGTTCTATCAAAATGTCTAATAGCTCAGCTTCTACGCAAAATTCAACAAAATAAATAAGAGAAAAATTGTAGAATAAAGGATGCACTTTAAGGTAATTCAGTTTTGATTAACGTAAAGCCTAACAAATTGTTGTGATTTTCAGTCAAAGTCTAAGATGAAGTTAGACAGACAGAAAAAAATCAAACACAAGTTTTCTTAACTTAAAGATATGGAACGGTACACAGAATATATTTTCATGATTAGTAGATTAATAAGAAATAACTAGAAAAAAACGTACAACACACATTAAACTGCGTGAAAGTCGTAAAAACAGTCATTGCTAAGCACACACAGGAACGTGTATTTTTTTGCTTTCATGTCGCTACAGCCTGTGCATATAAACCTTGAGTAGCCGTCTCGTCTGTTTTTTGTGCAGTTTTTGCACCTGCCCCGCTTCTCAACTTTTTTAGGCAGATGATTTTCGGCTCCTAAATCTGGATTGACTTGCCTTTCGCGTTTTCTTCCTCTCCTTCTTGTCCCGATGAGTTGCAGCGCTAAATTTTTTCTAAACACTAGCAGTGTCAATTTCTTCTCCTTTCCCGTTCTTGTCAAATGCTTATGATTTGGTGACTCCTTCATTAAAACAAACGCGTTTGAAATGGAAAGGTCCACCAAAAACCAAAGGATGTATGTCCACCAACGGCGAGATTTCCTGGCACAGCAATAAGCTGTTCTCATCTGGTCTGCTCTGTCCACTGCAGCCATGTTCTCATTATAAATCCGAACGGGAAGTGGGCATGGTATCTCCTTGAGACTGCCATCCTTCTGCTTTCTTTTCACCGAAGTTTTTGATGAATTTGGGTTTGTGTTTGAAGAGAGCAGCCTTAAGGCGGGTTTCCACTTTGGCGAATCTGGTCGCGCGAACCTTGCGATCGCTCGATTGCTATCGCTCGATTGCTATCGCAGGATTGATTTCCACTCTTGAGATTTGGTCGCGCGATCGCTGTCAGTGCCTCAGTAGATTTAGGCGCGTAAACAATATGGCGATTTCAAGGAGAAAAATTTTGATTCTCATTTTGTTGAGGCGACGATTAAAAAGAAAGGCACTGCAGACTCGTAAGAAAAGGAGATTTTGGGTAAGGAAAATATATGCAGAGAGATGTGAAAAGGGAGAGTATCATCAGCTTGTCAGAGAGATGAAACTTTTCGACAAGGAATATTTCTTGCAACATTTTAGGATGAGCCCTGATCGTTTTGAGGAACTTCTGAAGTAAGTTGCCCCCAAAATAACAAAGTTTTCTCTCAGAAGAAAGCCAATTGGTCCTAGTGAAAGACTTTGTGTGACTTTACGATACTTGGTGACAGGGGATGCTCAAACCACTATAGCTGCTAGCTACAGAATGAGCAAAAGCTCGGTTAGCAGAATTGTCCGCGAAACTACTGATGCTATTTGGAGTGGTTTGCTTGAGAACGTCCTCTACAAAGCTCTATTAAGCCCCTCTTATCAAGCAAAAATTTTAAATAAGCCCCCCTCTCTTTTAAGCCTCCACTTTAGAACTAAAAAGTAAATGAGCTCCCCTGACTTTGAGCTTTTACGGTATATTTACATATGGTATACCATGCTGCAAAGTATGTTTTGTCAAATTATTGTTAAAAATCAACGTTAATGAGCAAGAAATACACATTGAAAACGAAATACAAACGATGACAAAGAAACAGAGCCAAAAGGCAGTAAAAAATGATGAAATGCACGAGGAAGTACGATATTACATTGTGTAGAGTAGGCCTAAACACGTCATGAAAATTGAAGGAAAAAATCAAACAAAAGTTACCTTCTTTTTCAAATTTCTGACTCAGTTCCCGCCAAGATTGCTGCTTTTTAGGGCCATCTTTATAAGATCGGCATGAAGTATCCCATAAACAACGATATTATTTAAGTTCCTCAATAAATAATTCTTCAGACCATTCCGTCTCTTCCTCGACAATTGTATCGCCCGTGCTTTCATTTTCAAACGCAAGATAATTTGAATTTACTGTAGGGGATTGACTTTGCTGAAACTGGCGTAAAATCGACATGACTTCTGGCCTTATTGTTATTTTTTCCATCGTTTGAACAAGATTTTCTCAGCGTAGAAGAGCGTGGAGTTGATTTTTCGGATAAGCGCCAAAGAAAACAAGACAGGGTGATGAGGGATTTTACGTAAACCAGACAATAAAACAAAGCATCTAATTGGTTCGTGAGAATCTGGTCGCAAAAAAGTTAAAATCTATTCAACTCCCAAAAGCAGTCGCGCGATCGCCAGTGCAAAGGGGAATCACTGCCATTGGGTTAAATGCGCATGCCCAGAACAACAGTCGCGCGACCAGATTCGCCGAAGTGGAAACCCGCCTTTACAGGCTTTCTTCCCTTCTTTTCCTGCCAAACCGTTGCAGTAATTCCATTTTTTTGCCATATTTTGGCCTCCCCTTGTTGTAGCCTTAGGTCCGACTTTCTTCCCCTCGTCACGCGCATCTGGTTTGGCAGTGACTTCGCAGAACTTTTCACTGTGCCGCATCCATAGATCCCATTTGCAAGAAGGTTTTCGTGTAGGACGACACTATTAAAATAGTTGTCGAAGAAAACATGGTGATTTTTGCCACGAATGTGTGTTGTCAAACGTTCGACAACCTTTCTTCCAAGTTCTTTCTCTCTGCCATGATTTCCTCCGTGCTTGCCAACGTAAACTTGAAACTCGCATACATAGCCATTTTTACTGTCTGCCCGCTCCCAAACTTTTATGCCATATTTGGTTGGTTTTGCTGGCATGTATTGCCTGAAAGATAATGTCCCACGAAACTTTATCATGGCTTCGTCAACAGCATTTTCTCGGTTTGTGTTGTAGGCTTCCAGACATCATTTGTTGACAATCTCCAAAAGTGGCCTAATCAAATGGAGCTTGTCCCTGTTAGCGTCTTGCTTATCATAGCCAGTGCGATCGTGTGCATGAATATACTGGGATAGTTTTTCAAACCTATCCCTCGTCATGATTTCAGCAATTGCAAAATCGCCGTAAAATTTGTCCTGGCTCCAGTACATTTTAATTTCTGGCAGGTCAACCAAGGACATGAAAATCCTTAGGCCAACAAAGCAGCGCATTTCTTCGCGTGTTGTTGGGGTCCATCGCTCATCTACCTTGTGTCGCTCAACCTGCAACTGCAAGGCATAAAGATTTGTTTGTTCTGCCAAAATTTCGAATATTCCATCAGGAAATATTTTTCCAAAAAAGTCTTGTTCTTTGGCTTCACTTTCTAAAATGAATGTCGCACCGACATCTTCTGCAAATTCTTGGATGTAAACATCGCGGAGCTTCTCTGTCCATCCATCGGCTGAAACATCCTCGTCTGACGTTTCCTGGCTTTCCCCAGAGCTGGAATATTCATCAATAGAAAGATCACTTTCCTCTGCCCTTCTCTTTAAATTTTCGAAGTTAATTTCTTCCGGCAAAAACCCAAAAAATTCATTTTCTTCGTCGCTACTCGAACTAAAATTATCACATGCGGCCATTTTGCATCAGACGATAAACAAATTAAACCTCACAACGTTCAACCGTCGTTTTCTCCGGATTTCAGACCGTGACCTACCCAATCATTTCACACCATTTGAATCTATATTGTTCAAGCTACAATATTGTATTGTCTAAATAACCAATTAGAGAGAGAAATGACTGCTTTTTGCCAATCAGAACTCATGTTGCCGCATGACAACAGTCGGGATACGGAATGCCAAAAAATTTGTTGCCGTGCGGCAACATTCGGGATACAAAGCATAAAAAGAAATGTTGTCGCACGGCAACAATCGGAGTGTATGAGTTAAGATGTGTCTCAAAGCCAACTGTAAGTTCAATGATGTAAATGATTTTCCTTGAAGCAATCAGTAGCATATCAGGTCGCAAAGAATCACCTGTTATAATTGATGGGGTATAATGAGATGGAAGATTGGCATATAAAAATGTGTTGGAGAGATGCTGTATGTTTGTCACCAGAAAGTTTACCGTTTCTGGAAGGAGGGCAAAAGAACATGTCGCGTAGAATTTCAATGACGAAAGATATAGAAGCTGGGCGTGTAGAATTTCATTATAAAAATTTTCAATCACAACGATAATTACTGCACCAGAATCACCCAAAACTTTAAAAGACTGTTTTTCAACGACTTCCAACTAGAGAGGTTCGATGGGGTTGACTGAAAATCGTAGCTAGTTAACCAAATCAAAGGAGTTTGTTGAGTTAAATCAACATTTTTATTGTCAGTAGAATGTTTTGATGCCAGTTAATAAAACTAAAAGAAACAGTGTCTTTTTTTTTAATCGCATTGTCTACCTTTTTTCCAAGCAATATTCGACATTGGTATAAGCTGTGCAGTCCATTTCTGCAAGTCAATATCCGTATCAAAATTAGATAAATTGGGGTTTCCACCAGAGTTGTTTGAAGGAACCTTCACTGACCCCACTGGAAAGGTCCTGACCCGTTTAAATTTGCATGAATGATAACAGTGGCATAATGCTTTGACTGGATTTGTGGTTTTTTGGCTTTGAAAATTGTTGGCTTTGAGCCTTGAAAGATTGCAAACGAAAATTGCGTGCCACATGGCCCAAGCTGCCGCAATTATTGCAAACAGGTTGGCAATCTATCATGCGTACACGTGAAAAATGACGATTATCTTTATGAGAAAAAACTTGGGCCTGCCATTTCGGTTGTTCTGAGAAGAATATTTTGCATCAATTGCTGCCAAAACATTGTTTTGAAAATCAAGCAGCTCACTTGATTTCATGCCGGCACGAAAGTGCCGTGTAAACAGATCAGTTTTTCATATCGGGGGGAATCATTGATAAAATTGCCTCTGTTGCACAAATGCTGCACAGTGGACGCTACGTATTGATTTTGGCACCATTTTCTTTATTTCGGCTTGTTGGTTGCAATCATGTTGGAGAAAAAACACTGGGAATCCAAAAAATGTAAGCGGCAATTAGAATTGCTTCACTAACAGTAAAACAGAGACAACTAAAACAAGCAGATGTGTGCGTCTTTTAAACAATAAAAAATATTACAATGTATGAAGAATTAAGAACCTATCATGCGAAAGAATGCGACAGTCTCGTGTCAGGTTTCATGTAACGGCGAGCAAACTTCACAGAATTTTCATGCCGGCATGAGTTCATTTTGGGTCTCATGTAAAGGGCCCCTTAGAGATTCCTTTCTATTTTTCAATATGATCAGATTATGTTGTTACCTTTTTTCTCTCTTCCTCAATTCCATCTGGCTTCTCAATTTGAAATAGTTTGGGCCATCCTTGTTCCCCTTGACTCAACCACTTAAGTGCTTGCCACCACAAGTCACTCTCCTTTAAACGCTGTCACTCCTGTGGTTTCCAAGTCTGCAGGGTTTTCTACTCATGGTACGTGGCCCCACTCCTCTTTCTTACTTAAACTTAGAATTTCATTAACCCTGTGCTGCACAAAGGTTTTCCATTCATTGTTATTCTGAATCCAGTACAAGGTGATTTTACTGTCTAACCAATACCTCACTGTATCAATATAATCTCTGTCTGAATTGCTTGTCTGACTGCATCTACCTTTGTGTAACTAGGATTCTAGCCGACATAAGCTCTAACCTTGGTATAGAGAGATTCTTCAATGGCGCTACTCTTGTTTTGGCACATATAATTTTGCTATATACCTCTTCTGTGGTTTCAATAACAAGATAAACCACTGCACAATATGATTTTTGGCTCGCATCACCAAACCCGTGCAACGATGTTTTCAAGATTTAATCTTCAACTCCTGCTAAAATATTTCTTGGTACTGAAACATGACTAGCTTCTTGCAAATCTTGTAACCATGCTTTCCACTTAGAAAATTTTTCTACAGGGAGAGGATCATCCCAGCCATAGTTGTCTATGCATAACTCTTTAAAAAGGATTTTTGCTGTTACAAAAAGTGAACTTATTAACCGCTGTTGGTCAAACAACAAAGCTACACTCCTGGCAAAAAATAGCTGAGCCATATGAACAAAAGGGGAATTTGCGTGCTATATCTTCATATAATGTGCGCTGGTGACCTGAGCCCCCTTTCCCCCGTGGTCAATGTTGTTTAGGGTGGTTACAGAATAAGTGGGGATTACAACATTAGTTACCAATTCAATCACAACATTGATCCAGGGGGAAAGGGGGTGGGTGATTTGTAAGTAGCTTCTTTTTTGCAAGTGTCTCAGCATTTTTTGCCAAGATTGTAGTGCCTTTAAGATTCCCCTCTTGGTTGCAGCATAGTTTGTCTTTTCCACCTTCTCAAAGTCAATTTGAATAATGTCAGTTTTAGCATCCCAAGGAATACCCAATACTTTTGTCTTTAATAATGGAATAAAAGTGTTTTCCCATATAGAGTCCTTTTTCACTTGAAAAATTCTGCAGTCCACCTTTTTTCCAAACCACAAAATCTGCCCATGAAACTCAAGCTGCTGCCATTTCTCCTTGTACTTGATGCCAATATTCATGTCTTCTATTAAGCTCGTTTTTCGCTGTAAGGTAAAAGCTTTTGAGTTCACTTTTACCTTTCAGCTCAGCTTGAATCATCTCATCAAGACTGGAATTTCTGTATGCCCATGGAAATTTGATTTCTATGCCCATGGACAAAATTCCTTTTGTGTTTGTATCCTCCTCATAAATGATCCCATCTGGGCTACACCCCAAATATCTACAAGGAAACAGGAAAAGACCAGCTGGCTCAACTTTGTTTCCTGATAGTTCTTTGTATTTTTCAGTTGCTACCTTCTCAAGCATTTTGCCCCACATAATTGATATTCTACTCTCAATTTCTTTAATAAGTAGGGGGGATGGGATTGCCTCCTGTCATCTTCCTCTGACATGCCTGAATAACGTGACCAAAATTACTGCCAGTTAATCCGGTTTTGACACCCATGAATTGGGTAAGTCAGTTTTTGACATCCCTTTTTTATTGGTATATATTGCTGCAGCTGCCATATGCCTACATATCCAATTTCCCCTAGGGCATTCACAATGATTTAGATTTGATAGCTGTCAAAATCAAAGGTATAATAGGCAATTTAGATACCTTCGACTTAGAAGAAATTCTCTTCGCACCCTTCAGAACCAAAGGAATTCGGCAACAGTCCAACAAAGGGTCAGGAAAACCATGCATAACATGAAGAAATATAACTGCAGAGAGGTAAACACAAATCGTAGACAGCTGACAAGAATTGCAAAGAGAACCAATAGAGCACTGCAGAACCATTTTGATTCAAGAGTTTGAACTGAATACAAAAATCCAAGAATTTTCTCTGTGCAGAAGCATAAGTTTTCTGTGTAGAATCTGGCAGTAAAATTTCAAAATTCAAGAAGTCCAAAACAAAACCAAGATAGGTTAATTTAGTAGACAGACCCTCTGTTTTTATGTCAGCCAACGATACAGCCAATAACTTTATGTCAGACCAGCATAGCTGTCAAATCTTTGATTGGCTGAGAGCTCTGTTCGCTACCATGTTCTAAGCCAATCAGCACACAGGATTCTCACAACAAAATCGCTTCGCAGCTAGAATTAGGCCCATTTCGCCATTTCAGCGCGTTTTTACCACATTGTCTACAAAGAACATTGCACGCCTCTACAAAGCGAATTTCCACATTATTTTTTGTCCAGTTCATCATCATGCGTTGCTATTTAACCTATATTGGCGCCACTGTTCGATCGCAAAGAATAATATAAAATAACACCTTGCAAATGATCGATATATTTCGTGTCGAGATTCAGGTAAATTACTGTTTTTACCTCTCCCCACCCAAAGCGCTTTAGACATTTAGACAAAATCAATTATATACTTACCTTAAAACTAGGAATTGTTCATAATCCCGTCATAGATGCACTCACTGTTCAGCCTTAGATTCGGCGGTGATCGTCTATGTAATTATTACAATGCCACGAAGGCTTTCATATTCACCCTTGAACTCAATAGATGTATCTTTCTCCTCTGGAATCATAATTGATTTCATAAAAGTGAAAAATTTCAGCAACAGCCCAAAGTAATTTCAATCATGATTGTCCAAAGACAATTGACCATTATTACTAATTTTATGTGATGAAAACGGCGAATACACTCACGCGGTAAGACTGGAACCTAATAAAATTTGAAAACGGTGGGATAATTTTGAGGATGTATTTTCGTCAATTTTTCCTGCCGTTTTTAAATTTTGTTAGATTCCAGTCTTACCGTGTGAGTGTATTCGCCATTTTCATCAGTTTCATCGTTACTCCAGTAGAAGATTGCTTGCTTATTCTGTGAGCTAAAAGAGCGTGTGGAAGCTGTTCATCCCAATCGTCTTTGTCCTGGTTTACTCTTATTCTCAACAACGCTTTTAATATTGCATTAAACCTTTCACATAGACCATCTGTTTGAGGATGATAAGCTGTCGTTCTCCTTTCTCTATTCCAAATAACTGACACAAAGATGCAACTAGATGTGACTCAAAGTTTCTGCCCTGATCTGTAAGTAAAACAGAAGGCATACCATGACGGGCAGAGATTTGTTCAAGAGCTCTGACGACTGTTTCTGCTTCTTGATTAGGAAGGGCCTCAGCTTTTGCATATTTTGTATAGTAGTCAATGACTGACATGATGTATTTGTTACCTGAACGTGTAGTTTTCAAAGGTCCGATTATATCTACATCAATCATATAAAACGGAATGGGAACGACTTCAATTGGCTTTAAAGGCCACCGCGGTCTGGGAACTGTTTTGTTTTTGGCACATCACTCGCAACTTGCACAATATTTCTCTACAGATTTGAAGAATCCAGGCCAATAAAATGTCCTCTGAATGGCATCAAAAGTCTTAGCTATGCCCATATGACCAACTTGCTCGTGAGCTTCTTCCAAAAACCTAGGTGTAATAAACTTTGGTAATATGATCTGTAATCTCTCATCTCCAGTATCATCTATCCACTTCCTGCAAAGAAGATTATTATCAATGCACTGGGAATCAAATACATTGTACAAAGCATGCAGTACAGTCGAACCATCTTTTGGTCTTTGCTCAGGGCGAGAACCTTTCATAACCCAGCTCTTTGCTGTAGATAACTCCGCATCTAAATCTTGTAATTCTTCTAATTCACTCGCTGAATGTCTGGCAACCTGTATGCTGGAAGTTGGAGCACGGGAAAGTGCATCAGCATGCTGCGTCAATGAACTTGGTTTATGCTCCACAGAGTAATCATATTCCTCTAGTTTCATTATCCAACGCGCCAGTTTGCCATTAGGGTGCTTCATTCCCTAACCCTTTCATGCACCCTGTTGTTGTGGAACAACAAATTAAAACAATAGTGCCTTTGTTTCCATTCAATTTTTAACCAATCGAAAGAGGCTGCAGCAAGACTGTATACAATAGGCCTTCAGCTTGCTTGTTTGAAAAGGAGGCTATTTCAAATCGGTTTGTTGAAAACGGCGTGTTCCTGAGACCTAACTGTGAATTTTGAAAACGAACGAAGTCACGGTGAGTCAATCAAATTTAATATATACAACATGTAACATTTAGCAGAGTAAAAAATATATTCTTTTCACTCTTCTTAACAACTGTGAATCAAGCCATTGTTCTTATCAAGTTCTTGCACAGGTTTTATAAATTTCATGGAAACAAATTTGTTGTTGTGGAACAACATGGTGCATTAACAGCTCGAATACATACAACAAATATGAAATCAGCTGATCAGTGCATTCGTTATAAGAAATACTTTTACAGCCATAGATAATATATTTTATACAGTTTTGTCACCTTTAAGAATTTATGTGATGATATTTGTGCCATTTGCATGCTTTAGGACTTTTACAATATAAAAAATTCTCAAAGTAGTTACACTTTTTATTGAAAAGCTTATAATATTAATTTCAAACAGATATGGCTGATGGTACATTAATCTCTACTAAATCCTTTTATGGGAGAACTGTGAAGACAGATATAGTTGAGAACCAACACATAAGAGATCCAGTTGTTTTGGAGCCAGGAAGCAGTGAAAAAGAGAGTAGTGATGAAGAGGATGAATTAGATCAGTTTCCTTCATCTGGAAGTGAATACAAAAGATCTGAAGAAGAGCTCAGTGAATCTGAATTATATATGTCAGAAATTGAGGCAGATATGTCAAATGAGGTGTTAGGTGAGCAACAAGCCTCAGCCAAAACACAAATTCCAGGATCAGTCACTATAAATTTAAAGCAGAGTTCAGTCACATCAAAATCAAAGGAAAGGAACATCCAAGAAATGAAGACGCGCTGGAGAAAAAGGACATCACCAAAATTTGATGTCAATTTCAAAGGTCAAGAACTACCACCACCTCCAAAAGAAGCATTGAATCCAGTTGATTACTTCAAACAATTTTTCAGTGAAGATCTGATTCAGCATATTGCAGAACAGACTAATCTTTACAGTGTTCAACAAACTGGGGCCTCTATTCAAACAAGCAAGAGCGAGATGGAACAATACATTGGTATTCTAATCATGATGTCAATAATAAAGCTTCCTCAAATAAGAATGTATTGGGCAAACGAAACACGTGTTTCATCAATTTCTGAAGTAATGACAGGGAAACGATTTGAAATTCTGAAAAAGGACTTTCACTGCAATGATAACACAAAGTATGTCCCCGCTGGACAATAAGGCCATGATAAGCTATTCAAAGTGCGACCTGTTGTTGACTCAGTTCTTCAGAAATGTCGGAGCATTCCACAGGAGGAAAAGCAATCTATAGATGAGCAAATGATACCAACAAAAGGTCGCACAGGTTTCAAGCAATATTGTCCCAAGAAGCCCCACAAATGGGGAATAAAAGTCTGGGCTAGATGTGGTGTCAGTGGTTTGGTCTATGATTTTGAAGTTTATAGTGGGAAATGTAATGACAAAGAAGAAATGCCAGAACTGCTCATGGCTGGAAATGTTGTGCGTCGATTATGTGATACATTACCACATAACATGAATCATAAAATCTATTTTGACAATTATTTCAGTTCATTGCCCCTTCTTCAACACCTAACCAAAAAGAAAATCTGGGTTGTTGCAACTGTTAGAAAAGACAGAATGAAAGGAGCACAACACCATCTGCAATCTGAGAAGGAATTGAAAAGGAATGGGCGCTGTTCCTCTGACAGTGTTGTGGAAGCAAATAGTGGTATAACTGTAGTCAGATGGATGGATAATGGGATAGTGCAGCTGATCTCCAATTACATGTCTGGGGAAGATGGCCCTGCAGCCAGAAGATGGTGTAAGAAGGAAAGAGAATATGTACAGATTGAACGCCCACTGATCATCCATGAATATAATATCCACATGGGTGGAGTAGATTTGTGCGATATGCTTTTATCTTTGTATAGTCCCACAGATCGGTAAAATATTATATGCATATTGTCTTTCATTGCATTGGCATTGTAATAAACCAAATATTGAGACGTAAAATGACTTCAAAATATATTTATCTTCATCATAATCGTACATACAAAAAACTGACTTACAACACGTGCTAACTGGAATAGAGGCTAGATATGATTTATGCACATATTTTAATACTATTGTCCACAGGAGATAACACTATCCCCCTCCCCATCTCTCTTCCTATGTTAGTGAATGTGAACGAGTTCTGTTTGGTAGTATGTTTGCAATGTCTATTCTGCACCAATTTCTGTTGATCATGTTGTTATTATCTTCTTGTTGTTCTCCATGGTTCAAGTCCCCTGTATTCCCTCCTCCTCTTGCACCCTCGACGTGTACTCTATCATCAATGAGATTTGTTGTCTTGGTATTGGTTAGGTCAGCAAAAATATCACAGACTTTTTTCTTAGGAGGTTCCTTTGCAGGTAGGGGGTCAGTTGCTTTTTTGAGTAAGTGGATTGATCTTGGAGGTATATACTTCAGTTGATTGACATGAATAGTAGGACTGGCTTTGCCACTGGCGTCAACAAGCTTACAATTCAGATCTCCTATCAAGTGGGTGATTGTCCAAGGCCCCGACCACTTTGGTTGAAAACAACGTGAAATACCCCTTTTCTGAGGTGGGTTCCATAACATGACAGTATCATTGATCTTATAATGATGTTGGGTAGTTTTTTTATCGTACTGTTGTTTCATTCTTTCTCTGCTCTGGTTGAGAATACTGCGAACATTTGTAAAGGAGTTTTTAAGGCACGTACCGATGTCATTGGCAAAAGCTTGAGCTTGTTTCACATGGTGTGGAGCAGACTGTTGAATCTGTTGCTGTGGTGATTTATTAAACAGCAACGCAGTTGGTAAAGAAAGTTTAGCACCAAGAATAAGTTCAGCAGGTGTAACTTTAGTGCTATTATTAACACTTGAACGAATGGCGTAGACAGCTGATTGCAAGAACGTGTCCCAGTTACAGCCATGTTGATCAATTTGTTTCTGCACACAGGACTTAACTAGTTTTACCATTGCCTCAGAAAGGCCATCACCTTGTGGGTGGAGACGCGAAGACTTGGATTTACCTATACCCAAGATTTTGGCGACTTCCCGCATAACATTGCCATGAACATTTGAGGCACCATCACTGTGCAAACGTTGCATAATCCCATACCGACAGATCCATTGGTCGTGAATCGCTCTAGCAATAGTAGGTGCCGATATCTCTTTGAGGGAAACAACTTCAGGCCATTTTGTAAAGTGGTCGACCAGGATAAGAGCATACTTGAAACCATCTTGAGATGCAGGCAGAAAAGGTCCGGCTAGATCGTAGCAAACAAGTTCGAATCGTTCAGTAGACTGTATTGGCTGTAACTGATCTTTGTGGTATCCCTGAGGGGTGGATTAAAAGAAGCACAAATCTTGCAACTTTTCACCCAGTTGATCACATCCTGTTTGGCATTGGGCCAGAAATAGTGTTCACAAAGGCGAGACCAAGTTCTGTCAACAGCAAAATGACCAGAGGATGGGTGGTCATGGCAAAGTTTCAGGACGGTTCCACGTAAATCGTCAGGTACTACAGTGCAGTTGTGCCACTGCAAAATGCCATCCTCAGATACAGAAAGTTTATTGCGATATGGTTTTAAGGAACCTAGACGGCAGACATCAAAGTTTCGTTTATCAGAAGACATGTACTCGATTGCTGCTTGGATGTGTTGATCTTTTGTTTGGAAATCTCTGATTGCAGCCACTGTAATATTAGGTTGTAATTCTTCCAGTGAGTTGACACTGTGCATGCGACTGAGACAGTCGCTTATGGCGTTGTTTTTGGATGGAATGTGTTCTATTTTATAATTGAACTCTGAAAGTTGCAAAGCCCAATTCAGCAATTTTCTACTCTTAGGGTTGCATTTGAATTGCAGGAATGAAGTTACGCGATTATCAGTACGCAAGAGAAAGGGTTTACCAAGAAGGTAGTGACGAAATTTTTCGGTAGCAAAAATTATAGCATGCGCCTCTTTCTCTACAATGTTCCACCTTGATTCAGTTTCATTGAACTTTCTGCTGGCGTAGGCGACGATGTATGTTTTGCCATCACTTGTGTTATGGGCTTTAAGACATGCACCTTCACCTCTGTCTGATGCATCGACTTCTAGGATGAAAGAGTCTGTACTTGTAGGAGCTCGTAAAACTGGTGCGGA